TCTCTATCTCTCTGTCTCTCTCTTTTTTTTTAGAAAGTGGAGTGTCTGTCTGCTCGCCATGGCCCCTCGCTCTCTGTTGATGGTGCTGATGGTGGTTGCCATGGCAACTGCGGCCCGTTCAGCCAGCGAGGAGAATGAACTGGATTATGGGTACTGGAACTACAGAGAGGGAGGTAAATCATGAGCCTCTGTTTGATCTCTGAACGTGTTCGAGATACGGGGTGTCTGTAAATCGCTGAGTGACAAAAACTTTGAAGTTGTGAATTTTAAAGATAATTTACTGCCGAACTGAAAGAAATGCAGCAATTTAAGAAACTCTGTGGAGATGAGATAACTATTTGGAGCTTAAAATCATTATGACAAGTGTGTTTTTCTGATAATATTCATGAGTCATTGAGGCTGTTGTCTGTCAATTGAAGCCTGATGTTGTTATGTTTTGCTTTCAGCTGACAGTGTGAATGTGGCCTCAGTGCGCAGTGTGACCAGAGTTTTAGACGCCTGGGGAAAACGCATCTTCAATGAGATCAAGACTTTACTGCACTCTCAGCCCAGCACACTGCTGCCTGACTACTCCAGGTAACGTTAACACCTGTACCTCCCCCGAATAGATCCAAAACACCGGGGGACTCAGAGGTAGGGGACAATCGCCCCCATGTTCAAAAATAATGCTGCAAAAGTGCCCATGTGGGCATGGTAGATGAAATATGACTAAGTGCCATCTGGGGCAGTGGGTTTGAAACTTTTTTTTCATTAATGTTCTCCCTTTGAAATATGACTAGCGCAAAATATATTTGGCAGAAATAACACACCTACATAAAGAGGTACAATACAGCACTGCACCATCAGTGTCTGAATTATTAAGAGAAATACTAAACTTAATACTAAATTTAAAATGTTTACAATCCATCACTAAATTCATGGCAAACCAAATTTTTGTCATCACGCAATAACACGTAATAAGTTGCATTGATCCGTGTCTTTTTGACACACTTGATACACTTTAGTGAGAAACATGACCTTGTGCTTCAGTGAGTAAACTACTGGTGTTAACGACTGCATTGAAAATATGAATATTTAAAATAAAATGTGGTTTATCAAACTTATATTTAAATTATTGAACTTACAGAACACTTATTTTAGGAATAATGATAATATTCTCTAATATTATGTAACATAACATTAAATTATTTTTATACTGCAGTACTCTAAAGTAGCTCTAGGGGTAAGCGTATCCTCATTTAAGAAACACTTTACTGGTGTTAATTCTAACCCTGACTAAGCTGTTTAACCATAAATTCAACTTTCTTTGTGCTGGTGCCCTTTTTATTTTCTACCTGAGTCCGCCACTGTCCTGAAACCAGCTGTCTGAGCGGCGTTGGTTTGGTTTATTCTGCTCCAGGTCCATTTATCAAACATCCTTTAGTCCCTCATGAGCAGCTTGTGTCAGCAGAAGGACTCCAGTCTTTAAAGGTCCAGTGTGTAAAATTTAGGAGGATCTAGTGGCAGAAATAGGACATAACAGTGGTCTGCCATGTTTCAGCCCTGGGATTGTAATTTATCTAAATGTATTCATGACACCCAGGGCTGAAGCTACTGAGGACACAGAGGTCACATTCTCGCTATTTTAATTCAGTTCAGTTCAAACACGTTTCTCACTGTAATCCTACGATATGGGGACATTTGAGGTGGGGGTACAAACATATATCTACAAATACAAACAAATTATACATGATGATTAATTAAAGGTGGATTCTGATTTAATTTTTTGGACTTTGGTAAACAGCAGCAGTAGCATTTCTGAAGCTTTCGGTCATACCATGTGGTCTTCATCAGCAGATATCACCCAGATATCCAAGCTTTTAAGTCAACATAAACAACAAGTCCTGAAATAGTTCAGAAAAAATGGGAATTTGTTCAATTAGCTACACTTCCATAACAACTGGGCAAACTTTACCAACGGATGAAGATCATGAGATATGATCAAAAGCTACTAAAAGGCCCAGTGGTGAGATTTTCTATGGGAAAACAGGAATTCAGTATATTTCAAATAGTTTTGTTGTTGTTTGTTTATTTGTTTGTTTGTTTATTGGACTTAGGTTTCTCTAAAATCTGGGCTATGTCCCTGATCATTGGTGGACTGAGGGGTGGGGAGGCAGGGGGCCAATCTCCCCCACTGATGACCCCATATGTTATTGTTTTACTGTAATTCCTCTACAGTAACTATGTAACGAATTACATTTTCAAATTAAATAACGTTACTTTTGTCTTACCTGAAAACAGTGGACAACATTAGACGGCAGTTTCCTCTAATGTTACGGTAACAGATAACATCATCAAATCATTAATTAATATATTTGATTATTGTTATAACTAACTATACATTATTATAACTATTTATTTATTTATTTATTTATTTATTTATTTATTATCATAACAAACTACTGTAGCAAAGCTTGGTGGTTCTTCTTCCACTACACAATAGTTGTAGCTCCAGTCGTTGCTGCCCCCTGGTGGTCGTTTTAATAACTACACACATTTGTTTTGCCCCACAGCGACAATAAAATAATATAATTGACAGCTGTGCGCATTAATACGAGAACTGAAGAACAGTTAAATTTCTTCCTAATTACTTTTACATGCAGTCATTGGTAAAGAAGTTAAATTACTTTTTAAAGAGGCCGTCTGCCCTAGTTGTCACTGACATCAGTAGCTTCACAGTTACACATCTTTCTATCCAGGGTTAACACATTGCATTAGACACTTACTAAGCTCTTTCCTTAGATGTAGTCCTAGCTAAATGTCTTCCTAATTACTTTTACATGCAGTCATTGGTAAAGAAGTTAAATTACTTTTTAAAGAAGCCGTAAGTTTTCAGTAACTTGCCCAACACTGAAGATATCATAGAGCCTGTTTTAATCCTAGAAAGTGATATTAAAGAATGATTGTAATGTAATCATGATAATGACCACTCATTTTAACACATTACAATCTTTATTACTGCCCCTTATGTTGTAATATCTTTGTTCTAATTTACCTCATTATTCCTCTACAATGTGAGTTGTTGTGGGAATAATGTGAGTTGTTGTGGGAGCTGAACCTGCTCTGCTCCTCCTGCAGGGTGCGCCCTCTGTCCGAGTCCGTCAACGACCTGTTCAGAGAAGTGTCCCTTCTGCGCCGGCGCATCACCGAGCTCTCTCATCGCCTAGCAACCCTGGAACCGTTCCTCCGTCACCACGGCTACCGGGAGGAGGGGGCGGAGGAGGAGGGCCGGGCTCTGGCACCTCAGAGCCTGAGAGGAGAGGTGGCGAGCCTGGCCCGGTACCGCCCCAGGACCGCGGCGAGGGCCAGTCCGCCGAGGGGGAGCCGGGTGGTGAGGAGGAGACGGGTGAGGGTCCTCAAGAACGGGGGAGTGAAGCTGGTTCAGAGAGAGAGATAGACACACTGATGGGGAGAAGAGTGGGGGGAGATTGTGACAGAGAGAGCTTCTGCAAATATTATATAATGTAAGAAATCATTTAACTGTGTAGATTTAATGTAAAATAACAATATAGACACTGCTTGTCCTGAGTGATGCTATGTATTAATCATATCTTTAAATAAACTCTTGTTGACTGTTTCACTGCTTTTCAAGCTGGTAATGTCAAACATGCTTCTATAAAACTATTCTATATCTGTTGTTATATTTCATTATATATATCTTAATAATTTAAAGTGTGTTTCTGACACATCCTCAAACATGTAATATTTTAGCTTTAAGGTTCATTCTTGACATCAGAAACAACAATTTACTTCATCTCATGTATCTTTTCCCCTTTCCATTTACTGGCATATAAACAAATATGGCGTGTTTAGTATAAATGTAATAAATAACTCTAATTTATTGACAGTTAAAGACTTTATGGTGCAAAGTGGCTTCATAAAATTACATTTAAAAATAAAATGCAATAATCTGTTATAGTGAGAAAAAGCAGGAATGGCTGATTATTTTTTATATTTATCAGATGATATCACAATTTGATAATTTCACATTTTATGTATTTATTATTTTGATTATTTATTTCATTATGTCTTATTTATTCAGTAAATACTGAACACTTTGCGTCACCATGAACCAAACAGCATAAAAGCAGAACAGAAAGTACAACAGGAACCAGAGGCAGGTACGGTGGACTCGCCCTTAAAGGGCTACTTAACCTATTTCTCACATGAAGTTGGTTTTTATTCGTCACAAGGAGTGAAAACAGTTGTGATCTGTGGCTCTGGAGGAGAGAAAAACATCCTTACAAACATTGACAGGAGCCTAAATATAGTCTACAGACAGCTTCTGGGTCTGTGAACTGAAGCCAATGTGGAAGTGTGTTGCATTATTTCTAATGGCCAGCAGGGGGAGCTCCACTGGCTGCAAAGTCAGATAGTATTGAGTCTTATGGAGAAATGACCCAACTTCTCACTTGATTTATCAGCTCAGTAAACAGTTTCCTAATAAGTTTGTGGTCTCAAACTCTAGTTTCAAGTCTTCCACACAGCATGATGTCCATTTATTTATGGTCGGATTTAGAGTCAAATAGACGATAAATAGGGTATACTTTAGGGTGTGGGTACCTTGTGATTGACAGGTCACTCTCAGTGAGTCTTTGAACAAAACTTAAATATAAATCAAGATTGTGTTATTGCGGTGACTATTTCTCTTCAAAATCTTTTCAGAAACATATTGTTGTGTAGCCTTATATTTATCTATAATACGAGAACGAGTGTAAGCAGGCTGCCATTGTTTCCGGCTACAGATGAGTCGTAACCAAGCGCAGCCAATGAGAGCGGCTCAACTCGCAGTACGTTACCGCTGCTGGCTTTAAAAAATTATAAGGCTTCAAAATGTTACTGCACAAACCAATGGGAGACATCACACTTGGTTAGAAACTGGAGTTACGGGTTTTGAAAGACATATTTATTTACCAGTTACATTGTGGGAATTGTAGTCTCCAGTGTTTTAGAAGCTTGAACCACACTAGAAACTAAAACTCAGGATATCTTTTTTAAACCTCTCTCTTTTTGTGAATCCTCCAACTTCATACATGTGCAATACTAAATGTAACTATTCCTTTAAACCAATATACGTAGAAAAACACAAAGACACATATTTTAGTTATATATAACTACAAAAAAGGATTTGTGTACACACGACAAGACAGAAAATAAATTCCCAGTGATCCACGTGTGCCTTAAATTAACATCAGACTTTCCAGCAGCATCTATCATCACTTCAGTAATAAATGAGTAATAGACGAGCAGCCAGGTCATGCTCCCTCCTACCTGTGCACACACACAGTACACCATAGGATGCCATGTTGTTGCCACAGGGTGTCAGTGCTCGCCTGCTGCCGTAATCAGATGTGACATTACAACTAATTCATGGAGGCTTGATCTTTTGTTTTTGCTCAGCTGAAGTCACGGACGGTTCTCAAGAGCCCAGCAGGGGGTGCCTATTATCTGCTAACATAATTATACTGTTTGTTTGCGTATGGTGATCGCGTGCGTGTGTTCATGTTGTGGGCACAGGCATCCCAACTTTATGCCTTCATTAAAACTTTGCCAAGTGTTTCTACAGCAACCAGTTTCTCTCTGCTTCTCCTCCACTTGTCATCCACACCACATACTGCAGCGTGGCTCCTCTTTTCTCTCGTTTTCAACCTGCATCCGAACACTCGCCGCTTGTCAATTCCCCTTTTTATTTCCCTGTGATTCCCCTGCATGTGTTACATCCTCCCCTTTTTTTTATCATACTGTAATCTGTACATCAACCACCCCTCCTCTTCCTCCTCCTCCTCCTCCATCTCCCTCCTTCTCTTCTTCTCTACACTGCTATGTGTGGGCGTTAAGCTCAGGCTGTACTTTCCATTTTGGTATTGTATTGTCAATGCATTGTTGCATCCAATCCAGTTAAGATGCGGTGGGAATTCTGTATAAATCTCTCTCTGTCTCTCTTTCTACCTCCCCCCCCCCATCTGTGGCAAAAGAGCCAGTTGCTAGGTAACAGTTAATTGTCAAGAAGTAGTTACATGTGTTGCAATGCATCCTGAGATTGTTGGGTTGGCGTGAGGAGAGAACAAGTGAGCAGAAAAAACGTCTGAGAGAGAAAATAGTAAAGAGTTTCTTAAGAAGCAGGAGATAAAACTGATTAAAAGATTATTTCTACCACCTCACCTCGTTCTGTGTCAGCATCCAGGACTGCAGATGTTACAAAATCTCCCCACCAAATCTATACACACAAGGCTTCGGTACATTTTCCAACCTGCAGGTTTCTTTAAATAACTCCTGTTGCTGGACAAGGCTTTCAGAGTAAAGAGAGCGTCTGAAGAGTGAGGGGGAGTGAGGTTTTTTTGGGGGGGGAGGGGGGCTTTGATCTCTGCTGCTCGGTTCAGTTTGCATCACTTCTTCCTTCCCTCAATATTTCTTCCCCCTCTCCCTTCCACCTTTTATTCTCAAGCCTCTTTAGTTATTTTCTCTTTGGTCCACAAAAACACTTGTCCAACATGGTTGGGTACCATCACTGGTACATGATGAGAGTCCTGTTTATGAGAAGACAGAGACGAGCAAATAAAAGATGCAGTGAAAGAGCAGACGGTGACAGTCAGCTGCAGCCATTATCTCAGCTCCACTGATGACCTATGGGATGTAATAATAATATGATCTGTTACAAACATGCACTCAACACATTTGAATATCAAATATAAACATGTGAAAGACGTCCTGTTGCTTGCTGCCGACCTGTGGACACAACAAATGAAATAAAACAAGACAAAGTCAATTTGAGATTTATTATTTTTTATTAATACTCAACACTTTTATTCCAAAGAGACAGAAGAATAATATTTCTCAGCACTTATTTTCACATTGACTGTGTTTAATCTCATTTTCAATATTACTAAATATTCAATCAAATTCGAAATACTCTCTTCACACAAGTAATTTCTCTCCATACAAAAAATGCGAGGGTGAACTAGATTTTTGTCGTATGTACATTTTTCACAATCTGTACAGCTCGGGGGGATGGAGTTGTTCGATCTTCTGTGGTAAAACACAAAAACAGAAGATTAGCCAAAGAGAAGAAAGAAAAGAGATACTACCTTGTAAAAATTCAAATAGATATTCCATAGATCTATTGTGCTTTCTGTGTACCGATGAATGACTTTAATTCTTTACAATTTTTCCTTTTGACAAAGCAACCGTCTCAGCTGGTCTTTGACCAAATCCAAGAGAAAATCAAAAACTCATCAACAAACCTCGACTTATTAAATGTGCACCTCATCTGTGTAATAATAAACGATTGCACACATCCTGGCCTGAAGTCGATACAAAAGCAATTTTGCAAGGGGATTTATCCCAAATAGATCTATTCTCTGCCGTTTTGTACAGTTTTTTTTATCAAAAGTCCATGAGCGTGAGGTAAAGTATTTACATACAGTTTTATAATACATGTACAATTAACAGTTATCTCTCACACACACTCTCTGTCTCTCTTCCATATGAGCACACACAGAGGTAATCAAGCGTATGTATTCAGGCACATACAATAACAGAAATAATGAAACGTACTGAGATATTCAAAGGAAAAAAAAGAGGAGAAGTAGTTGAGATGAAGAAGGCTTCTTCAGTGACAATGAATGAATTAACCAAGACCTCAACCTTGTTTAAAAGCATTTACACAAACTATCAAGAAAACTGATCTTTGTATAATATTAACAATAAAAAAAACTGTTTTCTATTCTAGTGATTTAAAAAAAAGAATCAATTTAGCCATATTTAAGTATAACTAAAATTTGGACTGTTAGATTGGTGTCTTCTCTTGCACAAACAAGCACACACACACACACACACACACACACACACCCACACACACACCTACAGTACTACATGGATCATCAGTACCAATGAAATTGATAAAATTCCAAATATTGTTCAAAAACACCCATTTTTTTCTGGGCTAACAGTTAAGATTAAAAAACAGAAATAAAGAAAAAGTGTATACATGCAAGTCCTTACAAACACTAGAGACCCCCTAGTATCATACATACTGACTTGTCAACCAAGAGAAGGAAAGTCTTCTAAAGTTTTGACTGGGATGTACAACAAACTAAATATTGGATCCATTCAGTCAGATTGTGCTTAGGTATTAAAATTTGGTTTGGCAAAATGACTAAAAGTCCCTGGAAATTAAGACTAGTTGTCTTAAATTGTAACTTCATAGTATTTTAATGGTAGGGAGGGCTGTAAATTAAACAGAACACAACTTCTAAGTGCGTCTTTATAACAGGTTAGAGCAGAGATGACCTGAATGTCTGATGTTGTGGATTTGGGAGCTGCCTTTTAATCTAAATAGCCCATCGGTAACGAAGGCGATGCTTATTTTTTATCAGATGTACCTCCTGCTTTTAGGACGCGGTTTACGTTCTCCCGCCTTCCTCTTTTATTTTTTTCCTCCTCAAATGTCAGCAGCTGACACAATCCACACAGGACCTTGGACTTGAGGGCAAATTCTTTCCTTCATCAAAATCTCAGCATGTGAAACAGATTATGGTCTGTTGGAGGGAGAAATCAAGGTTACAATACATGCTGAAA